CTCATCTTTCTCCCACGGAAGAGCTGGTAGTTTCGAACTGCTGACCTTGCGGTTGGCAGCCCGTCTCATAACCACTACACTACCAGAGCTCAATAATTAGGCACCCAAAAATCTGTCTGATGAAGAAGGCTTAACAGCACTTGATCCAAAAAGTAGTCAGAAGGCACAGGGAGTCTGAATTGCACATGTGCATGATTTATCAAAGCAACTAGTGCAGATGAAGTACTAGGAAGGAAAAAAATTAATCCAAGTGATGAGAATCCCTGCATTTGATCAGTAATTAGGTCTAGAGTACAAAGACCCCAGAGTAAGAAGAGTTTACATGAAGAACCAGTACACACACAAAAACATGTATTATGGAAAGAGAGGGGCTGAGAGCTGGCGGCCAGGAGGCAGACTTAAAGAATGTGCCTTTTGGTGGTGTAAGTTATTATATATGCCTGAGTGTTTAAAAAAAAAAAAAGCTAAAATGAATAGAGAGAAATACTGTTAACTGATGGTACATGGATACACGGAGGGGATTATAACCATTATAATGAAACAAAGTATAGAATGTGTTGAATGTAAAACTGATGATCTGCTTTTCACTTAATTCACAATGAAAATTTAAAAAAAAAAATTGTATTATGTAACTGAAGCAAATCTTATAGAAATATTTATCCTTTATCATGTACTAAAACTATAACATTTTTATTCTATTTCCTTTTTCTAATACTATCACATCCTATTATATCAATTTCATAACCCACTAACGTATCATTTTGACTAACGTATGATTTGACTAATGTAAAAAATACTAACCAAAACCCAAACCCACTGCTACCAAACATACTGAAAATATGTTCAAGTTTTAAGTGTCACTCTGCAATTAAGTCTCCTGTCCCATTTCGTGATTTCTCTCAAAAATAAAAGCACTGTCAATTCTACTCTTAGAGACCCCCATGAGTGGTCTGTCTTATTACCCCTCAGAGTTTGACCATTGTTTAAAAGTTGCATGGATGAATGAACAAAATCTGTACATTTTACACATTTTACATACGTAACTTGTATCAGAAGAGTTATATCCTAATACACACAAGTTTCATCTAATCTGCAAACTTTACCTTCTTTTGAACCTTAAATATTGGAGAGCTCTCCAGACACCATTACACAGAAACACATCTGGATTCTGCTACATCTCTACAAGAGGGAGTACGGCTAAAATTTTCCTTTAAACAGTCTTGATGCTAACACGCTTTTCCAGTTCAATGTCTGAGAAGTCTTGTGGGGTCATCTAAACTGCAGTAACAGATTAGCAGCATAGATTTACTGGGGTAGCAAGAGTAGACAAAGTCTGCTGCTCCAGATCACTAGGAATAGCAGGGAAGAAGTTGGAGAGATTTAGGGGCAATAAAGAGCAGGGTTAGTTCCCAGGTGGTTCAGTCACTTATAGTATGGCTTTGACATGTTACTTAACATCCCAGCCTAAGTTAACACACATAAGGCTGAGGAGCTCTAAAACCAGCATCCATCCATAGTTGATCAGTCTGTATCCTTACACTTTCCAAGATTATTTTCTTGTCTTCATCAGAGGTCTCCTTTCCCCAAGGTTCATCTACCAATGAAACCAGTTGTACAAAAACCCTGTAAAACTACAATGCATATATGTGAAGTATTTTAATCATTCTGTGATTGAGAGAAAAAAAAATCAGCAATCTACTTTTCCAAAACATCTATAAAATGATGTTAAAAAACCCACTGCCCAAGAAACCCAACCCTAACTCATTTTTCCTTGCTGATAAAAAGACCTTCACTAACTCTATGTTATTGTTGTTGTTAAGTACCGTCGAGTCAATCCCAACCCATAGCGACTCTGTACAGGGTTTCCGAGGAGCAGCTTGTGAGCTTGAACAGCCAACCTTGCAGTTCATACGGCTTTGCAGTCTGGCGCATTAACCCACAAGGCCACACCAGGTAAACTGTCAATTACTAAAACCCAGATGCAGTGGTTTGCATTTAGGAAAGCAGCATTGTATGATAAAATGAGCCTAGGCAGAATCACTGATTCGTTCAATAACAACTTAACACTACTACATACTGGTACATGCTGGGTAAAACTACCATTCTGGCTCATTTAATCCTCTAAAGACCCTGGACGGTGGGTGGTGTTACCTCCGTTTCACATTTGAGTGTATGTTCTAGGGCCTTACCATAGTACTGGGACCACGAGTTTCAGAATAACATCCTTTTTAGTCCTGGTGTGGCGCTGCAGCAAAAGCAACAGACTGCTAACCCAAGATCGGTGGTTCAAACTCACCAGCCACTCCTAGGAAACCCTATAGAGGGTCACTGTAAGTCAGAGCCAACTTGATGGCACTGAACAACAATGCCTCAAACTCTCAGGTGTATATAAAAATAAAAGGAAGGGTTAAAATGAAACGCGAGTATCTTAAACCTTCAGTGGCAAGGAACTAACCCAGGGACTTGAGGATGGGGATAGGGAGGCAAAGCTTAAAGCAATTACAAGTGACTCTTCATTTTTTAATCTTTAAAAATCAATTAACTTTAATTATATTGCATACTTATGTGCAAATTTATTTTAATACAGTCAAAACACTTCTCTCCTATATTTTCAAGTAAAACTAATACTCCAGGAGCATCCCAGCATGACAAGGGCTGGATTATCTCTATAGTCCTTCCAGCTCTCAATTTTGTGACTCAAGATCTAAGGAAATAGTCTAAGAGCACTGGATCATGGAACCAGAATGACTTTAGTTACCACAGCTACTTTATTATTTACTAAGGCTTTGGTCAAGAGTATTTATCTTTCTTAGTCTGATTCTCAATTTCTAAAAAGACATTAATTTCAGGACATTTCACTGTATTGCTCTCTGTGGCTAAAATGTAAAAGTGCAGGTAGGATAATGAAATTTACTTTTAAAAAATAAAACTTTTTTGAAAATATGTCCCAGTTCTCATTTTTCAAATAATACCCCAAATTAAAGTAACTAGCTTAATATGGCAAATGCCAAGTTTAAGTCTTAGTTATGATACAAACCCAATTCTTTTACTATTTGTATTTCACTCATAGGGCATTCAATGCAATTTTAAGTCATCAGAAGAGCAAAGTAAGTGACATTTTGCCAATCTAATAATATCTGTTGCAGATAACCAAGACCTGAGTTCTAAGTCTTGGTTCCATTTCTGTCTTTAGGCAAGTTACTTAGTTTTTCTGAAGCCTGCTTCCTCTTCCTAAGGCAAAAAAAGTTTCTTCCATTATCACTTTGTAGAGCACACCATACAAATATGTTGTTGTTAACTGCTGTCAAGTACAGGCTGTTAATAATAATTAACACTTGTGCAACCAGAGCTCTCCTAGTGCTTTACTCATTAATATAGTAACCTTACAACCACTCTATTAAGTGAACACTATTCTCATTTTACAGATGGGAAAACACGGGAACAATTACCACAATCAAGCAGAGCCTGGACTCAAACATTACTCAGTGTTTTCCCCTCAGCATTAGTTTTTCTTCTTTTCAGGGCTGTTAAGATACAAACATAGAGAGCAATTTTGAAAACGAAAAAATACGCAAACTGCTCTCATTTTAATGACTACTATGAAGAAAAAAAAGGGGGGGAGATTAAGTCGGGTCTCGTGTGCTTGATTCAAGAACCTTGATAGGTTTCTTCCATTACTCAACAGCACTCACTTGATCTTAGAAACTACAAAAATCTAGCCTGAAATCTAAAGTATCTATACACAGTCAACACTCAATCAAAGTATAGCAAGTCAGGTGTAGCCCTACTCTCAACCCAGAAATTTTTGCGAAAAATTCCCTGGGGGTAACTAGAGATAGGAAAAACGATCCCAATACTCGTTTTGGAACTTTTAAACATAGTTACTGCTCAACGCTACACACCTCACAATACCTGGTGCTTCCAAATTACTACAGCGACTCGGTTTGTCTTCTCTAAGGCTTCAGTTACCACGTGCGTGTTGAGTTAAGAGCAGATGTAATCCAGTGACTCAACACTGAATGGCATCTTACCTGAGAGATGGTCCCTAACAGGGTGAAAAGTCTTCCCTAACTCAGCAGTTTCTCATCTAGGGGAAATTTCCCCTGGACTCCCATTCAGTATAGTCCAACTACTTCATTCTACCTACATATCCTACGCAAGCCTGAGAACACCGAGCAGCCTGAGAAAGTCAAGTGTTTCGAGAGTGAGTCCCACGATCCGAACGTGGAAGAGAACACGTGGTGAGCCGGTGCTCACACGGCCAGAGGGGATGATTGGAAGCAAAGAAACAGACTAGATCAACGCAAGCCCAAGAGCTAGGCCAGGGTCGGAGAAAAATCTACTAAACCCAAGAAGGGGCTCTGTCAACAACCAGGATTCGGACGAGTGCCTGCTAACAAGTAAGGCCCCACAGGAGGAAGCGGCACTGCGGGACTGGGGCCCTTACGAGCCCAGCGACATGCCCTAGCGAGCATGGAGGGCAAATCGCAAGGAGCCCATCCGTAGGATTCCGGTCCAGGGCCAGTTGGATCCAGCCGCGCCCTCTCCCGCTGCACTCCCGACAGGCCGCACATGGGACTGGCGGCGTGGGCCCAGTCTGCGGTACAGTTGCGCTGCGAGCCTCCTCACTCCAGGCCGCCGAGAGCCACGCGCGATATACGGGCACGCGCCGCCAAACCAGAGGGCGCCGGGGCCAAGTCCGGGCCGCCTCCCGCCCACCGTCGTCCTGCTCGCTTTACCTTGGCCTGCAATCGCGCTGGCGCCCAGGCCAGGCAGGTGCAGGTACCACTGAGGTGCGCGGAAGGCACGTACTCCTGATGCAGCCGATTGTTGCCTGTCTCCCACACCCGCAGGTGACCGTCTGTAGAGGCCAAAGCAAAGTAGGCCTGATTCTGCGGGGAGAAGGCACAGGGGACCCCCGCTCGGGACAGGGGGTCGCCACTACCTCCGCCGCCCGCCGCCATTGCTGCTCTGGGTTCGCGGCAGCCACGTGTTCGCCCATGCGCAGGCGCACCGAGGCGGGGCGGGGTCTGAAGGAAGGAAATGGGGCGGAGGGAGCGCTAGGAGCCGAAGGAGTGGCTCTTCGCGACGCAGACGAGCGTTGGGCGGGACCACTAGATGGACGGTGGCTCTTTGGGGCCGTTTACTAACGTGCTAGGAAAGGAGGGGACTCGCGAAAGAACGTGACTCTCGAACCCTGAGGAAGGCCCCTTCCTTTTAAGAAAAAAAAAAAAAACACGATTTCTTTTAACTGGATTGTAAAAATAATAGGGGGAACGGCTATTTCCTCTAATTTCGTATTTCTTCTGTTACTGTGTCAAATAGTCATTTTTAAATATCTCCATAACATTTCACTAAATCTATGCTTTCTCATTCAAGGAATTCCAGATACAATTTTGCTCACAAAGGGCTATTGCTTAATGAGAAAGATGAAAACCACCATCCTGAAGGCTATGTTGTTGCTGTGAAGTGTTCTCAGTTATTGAGACCTGGGTGACTCCACGGCACATAACCATAACCACCACCATAGGATTTATGAGGAAGCGGCTGGTGGGTTTGAACTGCTGTCCTTGTGCTTTGCAGTCCAGGGTTTATCCAACTGCGCCACACCAGTACTCCATGGGGAAACTAATGGTAAGACTTGCATCTTAGAAAATTTATTTGAAAGGAGCCCTATTGGCGTAGTAGTTAGCAAGGTCAGCAGTTCGAGTCCATGAGCCAGTGGAAGAAAGATGAGGCTTTCTGCTCCCGTAAAGATTTATAGTCTTGGAGCTATATACAGGGTCCCTAAGATTTGGAACTGACTCAACGGCACACAACACCACACCACCAATTTGAAGGCAGTGTAATAGGTGAATTGAAGACCCAGAGAGCTAGTGGATTAGTGGCACTGTAGGATCAGTAGTTCAGTTCAAACCCACCAGCTGCTCCTTGGAAACCCACCCCTTACAGGGGTGCTATGAATCAACCTACTCAATGGCACTTAACAACAGTGGAATAGAGAAATGGTGGTGGGGATGAACAGTTTCAAGAGATGTACAGTGAACAGGTTTTCAAGGGCCAAGGATGACTCCTTAAGCAAGGGAGTTCTTGGTGACCCAATTCACTTAGGATACAAACCCTGGAAGAAGAGCAGATTTGTGGAAGAGATTACATCTTCAGGCTGGGAATGTTTATGAAATCTCATTTGTACTTGTAATTTGTTCAGTCACTTAAATAAATTGAATGTCTGCTATGTGCTGGGTGAACTCCTGGTGTGGCACTGTAGGATCAGCACTGACCTACCTGTGAGCCATAAGGTCAACAGTCCAAACCCACCAGCTGCTCCTTGGAAACCATATAAAAGGTTGCTGTGAGTCAGTTTCCTACTTGATGGCATTTAACAACAACAGCAACATGTGCCAGGCAGACTCCTGGTGTGGCACTGTAGGATCACACTGGACTGCGAACCACAAGGTGGACATTTCAAACCCACTGACCACTCCTCAGAAACCCTGAAACCGACTCAACAACACTTAGCAACATGTGTCAGGCACTGTTCTAGGCACCAGGAATATATCAGGACTCTAAAAGACAAGATTTCTACTCTCATGAAGATTACATTCTAGACAGAGAGGCAGATAACCAATAAATCTCTTTCAGGTAGTGCTAACTGTTGTAAAGAGGAACAGTTAAAGGCAATATGTATTAGAGGAAATGGATCTTTGTAAGAGAAGGCCTCTCTTAGGCTATGCAAGGTCAGATGGAAGAGAAGACAATATACAAGAACCACAAGTACAAAGACATTGAAGCAATAATGACCTTGACAGATTGAAGGCAAAGCAAGAATCCCAGAGTAGATGTAGTGAATAGAAGAATTGAAGTGATACTTGAGTTTAGAAGGAATTAAGTGATTGAAAACCTTATACCATAGTAAAGTGTTTTGACTTTATTCTAAGCATAATTGAAATGAGTCCTAGTGTATCACTATAGTATAAGCACTGGACGGCCAACCACAAGATCGGTTATTCAAACCAACTAGCAGCTCCTTGGAAACCCTATACAGGGTTGCTATGAGTTGGAACCAACTTGATGGCACTCGACAAGAACAACATTTGAAACATACCATAAGGGTTTTGAGCATTGAACGGACATAAACAGGTTTGCATTTTTAAAAATACCTCCTAGGTTGGCAGACGAAAGATGAAGGTAGTGGAAGACATGAGGGAGACTGCAAGAGTTAAAATGAATAGAGGTAAATACTGTTAACTGAAGGCACGTGGAAGGGATTACAAGCCTTGTAATGAAGTGAAGTATATGATTTATTGGATGTAAAACTGACGATCTGCTCTGAAACTTGCACTCGATTCACAATAAAAAGTTAAAAATAAAGACAACCTCTTAGCTGCTGGATGGAAACTGTAAAGGGGCAAGAATGAAAGGAGAGAGACAAGGTAGAAGGATATTGGTCAGTATCCCAGACAAAGGATAATGAAGAGTAGGACTCAGATGAAATCAGTGATAGTCAGAATCCAGAAGAAGCAAGCAGTGAAAGTCAGAGTGGTCTGAATCAGATATACCTAATCTAAAGTTAGAACCAACAGGTCTTGCTAAATATAGTGATTGTGAAGAGTAAGAGAGAGAAAGATAGTGAAGGATAAGTAGAAGGACTGAGCAAACAGGTGAATGATGATATATCATTGACTGAAATGGAAATGGGTTTGGATGAGTGGATATCAAGAGTACTGTGAGGAAGCTTTAGGTGTCCGTTATATCTCCAAATACAATTGTTCAGTTGTTGTTAGGTGTTGTCGAGTTGGTTCTGATTCATAGCGACCCTGTGCACAGCAGAATGAAACACTATCTGGTGTCCTGTGCCATCCTTACAACTGTTATATTTGAGCCAATTATTGCTGCTGCTGTGTCAATCCATCTCACTGGGGTCTCAGTCTTTTTCGCTGGCTCTCCTCTTTACCAAGGTTGATGTCCTTCTCCAGGGACTGGTCAATAGGAAGTTGGGATATATAAGTTGTGCCTCAGGGGAAAAGGCTGGCGTTAGAGATACTAATCTGGGTGTATTACCACAAAGATGCTATTTTAAACTGTGTGACTGGATAAGATCATGTTGAATGTGAATGCAGAGTGAGAGCTGAGTCCCAAACTGTGCTAATCTTTCCAGTTGGAAGAGGAAGAGGACCCAACAAAGAAGACTGAGCAGAGGTGACCAGCCAGGCAGGAGGCAAGCCCAAGGAAGTGTGGAGCCCAGGAAACCAAATTTTAAATGGATCTAATAAGTAAGACATGATCAAAACCATATTAAATGTTGTAAAATGAAGAATGAGAATTGAATTTTCAAAAGGATTTTTAGTAGTTGTGGAGGGAAAACTTACTGGAGAAAGTAAAGGAACACAAGATGAGAAAGTGCAGACAAGAATAGACAACTCTTTCAAGAATTTCTGTTATAAAAGAACAGATATGAAGAGGAATTCCGGCGCTTCC